CCCCCCTATATATATATACCTAGTTTATTAAATTTATATAGCAAAGTTAAGTCATCAAAATGACATTAGCATCTTCCTATGGCGTTCCAGAGAAAGTGTGTAAAATATAACTGGCTCAAATGTGTGATTAGTCCCTCAGCTGTGTCTGACTCTTTGCGACCTCATGGACTGTAGCCCGCCAGGCTTCTCTGTCCATGGAATTCTTCAGGCAAGAATACTGGAGTGGGTTGCCATGCCCTCCTCTAGGGGATCATCCCGACCCAGGAATCAAACTGTGGTCTCCTGCATTGCAGGCGGATTCTTTACCAGCCGAGCTATGTATCAAATGTGTAATATGGATGTTTCCAATTCTTTTCTATAAAGGATTGCTTTAACAATCCACTTGGAATTCTGTACCACTTTTAATAACTGATGTAACACTTCCCTTAAAAAATAGTCTTTTCTGACTCATTGGAGAAGACCTTGATGTTGGGGAAGATTGGAGGCAAAAGAAGAGGGTGGCTGAGGAGGAGATGGTTAGATAGCATCACTGACTTGATGGACATGAATTTGAGCAAACTCCGGGAGACAGTGAAGAAAAGGGAAGCCTGGCATGTTGCTGGCCATGGCGTAGCAGAGAGTTGGACATGACTTAGCAACTGAACAACAATGTTTTCTTCCAGACCTTTGAGCTGAGGCTCCTTCTCTGCAGAGGGCCTGTTGAGCGTGGCAGGAGCACACAATGGGCCCTGGACCAAAGCAATCCTGTGTCCCCACCCTGCCTCTCCGCATCCCCCATCCCTTTGTCCTCAGATGCTAGGCTTTCTAAGCCAGATCTCTGAGAGACAGCCAGGAGCCCTGTCTGCCTCCAGTGCTGCTGATTCAGCCCTTCTCCCTCTGGTGGCAGCAGCGAGGGGAGGGAGGAGAGGGCGGCTCCCCTTACTTCCCTCCCTCTACAGCCCTGGCTCAGTGCCCTGGGAATGCTGCCTGGGGCAGGGCCACATAGAGGGCACAGCCAGTGTGGACCTGATAGCTTTCCCAGGGTCCACAGTCCTTCCATCTGTGTTCCTTTGGGCTGCTTTGGACCCCTAAATAGGCCTGGGTGGGGGGCACGCCAGGTGGGCTTGAGAGAGGGAAGCAGCCCAAAGCTAGAAGTTGGGAGAGTCCGGCTCTCATCCCAACTTAGACTCCAGTCTGCTGTGTGACCTTGAGCCAAAGATTTGCCGTCCCTGAGTCACAGTGTCCCTGCTGGACGGGATAAGGGATTGGATTAGATCACCTCTAAGGGTCCTTCCAGGTCTGGATATTCTGTGTGACCATCCCCCCGAAGTAATAGAAAAACAGAAGCTCAGAGACAAGAGCTGGTCAACAACACACAGCCAGGACTGTTCCCTCCTTCACACTTTGCCCAGCTGTGAGTGGGGCTTGGAGTTAACACCCAAAGCCCCAGACTTCAATAAACCCCCCTTAGCTCACTGCAGTCCTGTGCCTCCTGAGAGGCACAATGTCACCACCTCTCTCTGCCCAGGAGACAGACCCTGAACTGCAGCCTTTGCCCACAGCCGTAGCCAGTTGGGTCATCGTGGGAACTCCTTCCATTCTGTAGGCTTGTGGTTCCTCTTCACTCACTGACCCTGGGTGAGTCACATCAGCTCCACCACTAGCTCCTTTTCCCAAAGCTGGGGTAAGAAGAGTAGAAATAATGGATGTTAATACCCTTTGGGTGACAAAAGTCCCTCTGAAGATGAAGTCTGGCACAGGCAGTAAGAACTCAACATATGTAGAGGGGGCTGGAGGGCGAGAGACCTGTGAGTTTTTGTACAGGGCTCTCTGACCCAGGGAGCCAGAACTGCAGCCTTTGCAAAGCCTCCTGCAGCCTCACCAGAAGGAAGCAGAGGCAAGACCCTTCCTGGGGCCCTGGGGTCTTCTGTACAGGTTGCCCTCCTATGAACTTGAGAGTTATTTCCATGGCTCTAGAAGACCAGGAAGATGGATAACCATGACAAAAGTCCCAGGCAGAGTAAGACTTTGGTGTCATTGGGGGTGGAGCTACTGACCTGGTTGCCACCCTTAGCTGATCCCCAAGGAGATGAGACCATCACTCAACAAACACTTACTAAGCCTCCCTTTGTGACTGGAATGGATGAGGCTGGGGACTGGAGTTCTACAGATAACCAGGGCCTTAGAGGGGAAGGGACTGGCCAGAGGGTGCCTGAGCCAGGATTTGAACCTGCGGCAGCTGGGCTGGTGCGCATGCCCTCTGTATGCCTCCTGTCTTGGTGACTCAGGACTAAGGAGCCCTTCAGGTTAGGCTGGAGCCTTCCCCTTTCTGAGCAACTTAGTGGGCTCCTGCCCTTACCCGTTCCAGGGCTTGATTTTCCAGCCCGCACATCAGGGACCTCAGACCCCTTCCTGCTGGAAATTTATAGGGTCTCTGAATTAAACAAGACCCTCTAGGACTACCAAAGAGTTAAGCAAAGGGAATCCACCGGCTCCCTTCATCTTCGCAGAACCTAGAGGCTGGAGGGGAGGGAGCAGGGAGGAGGGGCAGTGGGAAGCCAGCCTGCTCCCTCCGCCCTCCCTCCCTCCCTCCCTCCTCGCTGCCTCCATCCCTTCCTCCCTCCCTCCTGGGCCAGCCCGCCAGACCTGGGGGTCTGGGCCAGCAGCAAGTTATTATCATCATCGCAAACATGGATCAAGGAACCAGAGGCTGCCGGGAGAGCCGGGGTCCATGAACTGCTGTACGAGGCTGTCGGACACTGAGTGAGTGATGGGAGGTCCTGCAGCTTCATCCAGCAGGGCCGAGGGGGTTGGGGTCAGAGCCTGGAATGCCTCTCCTTCGTCCTCTTTTCCTGGACACATCTGGGGCCCTGCTTTCTCCCTCTGACCCCGGCCAACCCCGCTAGGCTCTCTCCTCCCCATCCCTTCCTCTGGCTGAGACTTTCCACCCTGGTGAAGGGCTGCCCTCCTCCGATGCTCCTGGCTTGTGCCCACTCCTGCCTGGACAGGCACCGAATCTGCTCCAGCAGGGCTTGACTCTCCTTCGACCCCGAAGAGGCCCCAGCTCCACAGTGGAGGCAGCAGGGATCCCCAAACCACCCCCACGGCATGGTCCCTCCACTTGATGCCTGCATGACACCCTCCCCCAGGGACAGCCAGTGACCGTGGCTGTGGTTATTACTTTTGTTAAAGGCTGCTTTGCTTCCTGCTTCCTGCGTCCCCCTCCCCCCTCCCCAGGTCACAGTTCTGTGTCACAGATATTTTGACTCCCAGCTGTCTGGCCCAACAGAAATGTCCCCAGACCATGCCAGTTCTCTGGGAACAGTTCTGCTCTTCCTGTCCCATGCAGGACTAGGGGAGAGGTCATGTTGGGCAGCAGAAAGAGGAACAAATGTTTAATTAAGAGTCTTTTACCAGACAGGTGATTTTCCTGCTTTTAAATCCTCCCAAATAGCCTGGTGGGGGAGGTAGTGTTGTCTCCTCTTTGTAAAATGTTACGCAGCAAGAAGCCCAGAGAGGTTAAGCCACTAGCCTTAGGTCACACAAACCATTCTGGAATCTCAGGTCTGATTCTAAAGTCTCACATCTGTGACCAGGAAAGAGGGGGTTCTGCTCTTCTCAAAATCGCTGGGATGTGTATTATAATTTACAAATAAAAGGAAAGGGTGATAATCTTGGCCAGAGGGGGTGCTATTCCCTGAAGACCTGACCTGACTTACTGAGCAGACCAGAAGACCAGCCCAGGGTGGGAGTGGCGGGCAGGGAATAAGGCCACCCCCAGGAGAGGGTGAAGACCCTGGAGGCTGCTGCCCACTGCTACCACCCAGCTCCAGGGAGCGGGGAGTGGGAGGGGGCTGGTGCAGGGACTGTTCCTGCCCCTTTAAAACTCAACTCTTACTTCAGTGCTCAGGTTAGGATAGAAGGGCATTTTAAAAAATAATAATAATTTTACCTTCTCTACGCGTATTAACCACAGAAAAATATTTTTGAATTGTACTAAATGTTACAGGAGAGCAAAAAGGAAATAAACAAAGAAACGCCAGAAGTGTAAAAACCAGTCTGGTTTCAAAAAACGAGTTTCTGATCCTGCGATAACGTGTGCCAGCCCCCAAAGACTGCCACCACCTCAGAAGCTCTTTGCCTGGCTTCCTGCCCACCAGCCCGGCTTGTCTCCAGTCTCTGCTGTCCAGGCTACCTTCTGCCCCTCTTCTGTAACTCTGGATCCCTTCTAGGCCAAGGCCAAAGCCAGATCCTCACAAATCCTTGGACTTCCTTGTTCCTTTAAAATTTTCCAGAACTCCTGGGTTCTGTCCCTTAATTCCAAATTACCACCCTGGCAGCTGATTGGCAGGTCTAAGATGATTGACACAACCACCTTCCAATGAATTTTACTCTCTCCTGCTCCCTCCCTATAGGGTTTCTTGGGCGAGGTTGAGTTGTGTAAGTTGTTGACTGCACAAAGATGCTGAGTGAGGTGGTGGGCTGACACCAGCTACGTACCTTCAGTTTTGCATGACTGCTGGGACTTTTGTTTGTTTGTTTCTAATTAGTCTGTCCCAAGGGGCTCCTTCTTCTAACTTGTATTCCATTGACTATGGAGTCAGTGACAGGAAAACAAGGCCGAGAGAGACTGGCAGTGTGGGAAAAGCATTTTACAGTCTCATTGGCTATGTCACATGGGCAGCAGGACGTCTTCCTCACCAACCCCAGCAAAGACCTCCCAGGACGTTCATCTTCAGAGGGGGTCCTTCTTCGTGGGCCCATGTGTGGGGGAAACCGCCCAGGACTGGAGACTCAGACTCCAGGCCCTGCACTATCTCAGGTCTCTTTGTGAACTTGGAGAACTTGTCTTCCTGTTTAGGCCTCTGTCTTCTTGTCTGTTAAATGGGGCACTAGCGCTCCCTCCCTGGGTTACATCAGGAACACCCATGCTGCAGGTGGCAGCATCCACTCTAGGCATCAGCAGAGTGTAGACCTTCAGGTAACTATATTCCTGTCCTTCCTTCCTGCTCCAGGTCGCCATGGGGACGGCTGCCCTGGGCCTCCTCTGGGCAGCGCTCCTGCTCCTTCTCTCGGTGTCTGGACTCCCCACCGAGGAGCCCACCTCTGGGGAAGCTGTGGCCTCTAGTTCCCCTGGGCCCTGTCGACGGTGCTGTGACTCTGAAGACCCCATGGTCCTTGCCGATGCTGCGCATGTGTCCTCAGCCTCTCCGTCTGCCCTCCCATATGTGCTGCCTGAGGTCAGGCCCTACATTAACATCACCATCCTGAAGGGTGAGGACCACACAGGACTCGGGCTGGAATGGCCTGGTTGGCGTCAAGGAGGGCATATGGGAAGGTCTCTTCCTGGGCCTGGGGGAGGTGAGATGAGAGGAGCAGGAGAAACCAGGACAGAAAACTGTCTCAGACCCTTTCTGTCATTCACACGTTGTATTGAGTACCCACCATGTGTCAGGATCATTCTGAATTCTGGGAGGGAGTGTGTACAAACCAGACAGAGATGTCATGTCTGTGGAGCTTCTGTTCTAGTGGGGAAGACAGACAATGAGCAATAAACATATCACCCAAGTTAAAGAGATGGATGGTGATAAATGCTATGGAAGTGCTGAGGTGAAAAAAGGTAAGGGAAGCAGCATTGGGAGTGCAGGTGTGGGGCATGGGTTGCATATTGAATGAGGGAGGTCAGGGGAGGTCTCCCTGAGAAGGTGGGGAAGAAGCCATGTAGATACCTGGGGAAGAGCATTGCAGGCAGAGTGAATAGCAGGTCACTCTATTCACAGAGTGAGTAGTGGACCTGGTATTTTTAAGGAGCAGGAGACAAGCGGAGGAGCAGAGGTTAGAAACAAAATGTGGGTTTCTTCTCTGAGTGAGATAGGGAGCGAGGGAGGAGTTGAGCAGACAAGGGGCCTGACCTGGCTTAGGTTTCAAATGGATCCCTCTAATTTCTCCTGGAGACTAGATGGTGGGAGACAAGGCTAGAAGTGGGGAGAGCTGTGGGGACCCCCTGAGCCATTCAAGTGAGAGCTGACTCCCTGTTCTCTAAGACCAGACCCCAAGAGAGCTACTTCTGCTCTTGGGGCCTGCGAGCAGCTGGTCACTCCTGGGGCCAGGCCCTTGACTTCCTTACATCTGTCTTTGCTCACAACAACCCCGTGAGGGCGGTAAGCTTCATCCTCCCACTTTGCAGATGGGGAAAACTGAGCCTCTGAGAGAGGAGATCTCCTGGGGTCATGCCACTGTCAGGAGCAGAGCTAGGATTTATGGGGAGGAATGCAGAGGACCACTCCACTCCGCGGATCTGAAACCCTCTCTTCCTCTCCCCACTTTTCTCACCACCTCACACATCACTGCTTCCCCAAGGCCAGCAGAGCCCTCTGTGTGAGGTTAACGAGGTAGCTGGGTGTCAACAGTACTTCCCCGTCACTGCCCTCCATGAAATCCCATGTCACCTCTCTGGGCCACCTCTCCAGCTGCCTGTTAGGTGGGCGGGCATCTGCTGTGGCAGAAGGCACCTGGCACCTTCCCTGGGTCCCAGCCCCAGTTCTTCAGCTTCCTCACTGTGTGCGGCAGCAGGATCTCTTCCTCCCCGGGCTCGCTGCATCATATTTAAACTATAACTACCATCCCTTGGGACTGGGACGAAGAAAGTGCTCTGCAAACTGTAAAGTGCAGGGCATGTGCTGAGGTAGTTACTTCACCAATGGGGCTGGTGAGGAAGACTTCTGCAGAGACCTTGATCCCCTCCTCCTTGCTTCTCTCCAGGCTTCTCCTCCGAGGGCCTGTGCCCTCTTTTCTGCCCCTTCTTCCCCTCTTCCTAGCAACATCGCTGTGGTCAAAGGGGGCCCCGGGAGAACACAGGGCTGTCCATTTCATTCAAAGTGATGTGGCTGAGGGTGATTACCGGCACTGTAACAGGCAGCAGCGAAATATTTGGGATTTGTTTCCTCAAGAAGCACAGCTTCCCAGGTGGCTCAGTGGAAAAGAATCTGCCTGCCAATGTAGGAGACCTGGGCTCGATCCCTGGGTCAGGAAGATCCCCTGGAGGAAGAAATGGCAACCCACTCCACTATTCTTGCCTGGGAAATCCCATGGACAGAGGAGCCTAGCAGCTTATAAGTTCATAGGGCTCACAAAGAGTCGGACATGACTGAAGCAACTTAGCATGCACAGTGGCGCTTCCCTGGTGGTTCAATGGTAAAAAATCCACCTGTAGGAGATACGAGTTTGATCTCTGGGTCAGGAAGATCCCCTGACAAAGAGAATGGCAACCCACTCCAGGATTCTTACCTGGAGAATCCTATGGAGAGAGGAACCTGGTGGGCTACGGCCCATGAGGTCACAAAGAGTTGGACACGACTGAAGCAACTTAACTTGCATGCATGCCGCCCTGCTCCTAAGCCGTGCCATGCCACCCAGGCGAGCCCTTCACCTCCTTATGAACGGCGGTGGACATGGTGTCTCCCTTAAAGGGTCATTTGGGGCAGTGATGCCTGGCATGCAGTAGGTGCTCAGTAAATGGCGGTTCCTCTGGCCTACCTTCTCTCGGTCAGGGTAGAGCCTTCTGCAGATGCTTAGAAACAGCCCTGGGCACCTGCCCTGACTTTTCCTCTTCTTGTCCCCACAGGTGACAAAGGAGACCGAGGCCTGCTGGGCTCACCTGGGAAGCTGGGCAGGGAGGGTCCCCGGGGGGACCGTGGCCCCCAGGGCATCAAGGGTGCCAAGGGGCAGGCGGGCAGCCCTGGCAGTCCATGCCAGATGCGCTTCTCAGCCTTTTCGGTGGGCCGCAAGACGGCCCTGCACAGCAGCGAGGGTTTCCAGCCGCTGCTCTTTGACACGGTCTTCGTGAACCCTGACGGGCACTTCGACCTTGCTGCCGGCCACTTCGTCGCCCCTCTGCGTGGCCTCTACTTCTTCAGCCTTAACGTGCACAGCTGGAACTTCAAGGAGACCTACGTGCACGTGGTGCACAACGACAAGGCAGCCGTCATCCTGTATGCGCAGCCCAGCGACCGCAGCATCATGCAGAGCCAGAGCGTGATGCTGGCCCTGGCCCCGGGTGACCGCGTCTGGGCACGGCTCTTCAAGCGCGAGCGTGAGAATGCCGTCTACAGTGACGACATAGACACCTACATTACCTTCAGCGGCCACCTCATCAAGCCTGAGGACGATTAGTGCCTCCCCTGGGGCAGCTCTGGCCTGGGGTGGCTGTGGGCAGGTCTGTCTCCTGTGGGGGCCTCATTTTGCCCATCTGTAAAATGGGCCCCTGACCTGGCATTCTGGGCAGCCTTCCTCCTCTTTTTTTCCTCTCCATCACCCCTCCTACTCTGTTCCTGCCTCTCTTCTCTTGAACATTTTAAGAAACCTCCTAACCTACATCTTTTAGAACTTTCTCCACCTTGTAGACCAGCCATTTTCAAACTTGAATGTGATACAAATCACTGGGGCATTGTGCTGAAATGTAGAGTCTGATTCAGCAGGTGTGGAGTGGGCCCAGGGTTCAGCATTTCTAGTACATTCCTGAGTGATGCCGGTGCTGCTGGTCTCTGGAACCCCCCTTGAGTAACCAAGTCCTACAGCTTTCACAACATTTTGGTACTTTCCAAACATCCTGGAATCTTCCAAACATTCTGGAATCTTCCCAACATCCTTAAATTTCATCTTTCTAGGATACTTCCTCCTCTTGTCTCTTACAACCTCTTCCTTCTCTCTGAACTCCTGTCTGCCCGCAACATGCACACCCGTAGTGTGTTTATTCAGTCGCTGAACATTCACTGATCACCCTCTCTGGGCCCAGCTCTGGGAAGGCTGAGGGGAAGCAGACACAGGCCCTGCTTTCGGTAAGCACCCAGTCCAGCCAGGGAGGGGAGGCACAGAGGATCCTGAAAACAGCTCCAAAGAACTTCTTGGGGCTCTGATCATATACATCTGTGTTCTGGGCTTTCAGACACTGTGGCCCCTCATTACCCACCACTCCCCAAGGCTGACAGGTTAGGGTACCGAGGTGAAATGGGTATCCTCTGCCTGTTCCTTTCTTTTCTGCCCCATGCCCATCTTTAAAGCAAACCCAGAGGGACCTTGGTCAGGGGACGGTGCTATCAGGAGAGGACCCAGGGGTTTGGAGGCATTTTGGGGTAAGGCATCCCCTGAAGGAGGAAGCCCAGACCAAGCTCCCTATGCGACTGGGATGGATGCCTGCGAGGGCTCCTACCCCCACCACCCTCAGGGCATGCCCTCTGTGCCCCGCTCCCTGGTGCTGTCAGGGCCGTGCACAGCCCTCTCTGCCAAAGCTGCCTGGGCCTCTGTCCTCCCAGGCTCCCAGCCGCTGTCAGACACTGATGTCTGTCCCCAGGTGCTCTGAGCTTCTTGGTGCCCCTCGCCAGCCCATGCCCCTGGCCCTCCACACTCTGTTAAGGTGCTGAGGCCCTGCTGCCCAGCAGAGCTTCCCCTGGCTGCTGCTGCAGTTACAAATGCCACTGCCAGGCAATGAGCCAGGAAGGAGGGCACTGGGCTTTGGACCCCTCAGCAGGTCTGGGGAACTGAAGCCAGTCATATTCCAGGTCAGTCCGGGGACGCTCCTCTGAGCCATGATGCTGAGGGAGGCACTGGGAGAGGCTGAGGCCAAGTGAGGGACATCAGGACTTCTGTCCTTTCCCTCCTCCCAGGGTGGGACAGCCTGGCGGCCCCCAGCCTTCCCCTTCCCTTTCCCCAGCCCCAGGTGGCCTGACCCTCTTCCTAGAGGGAGGCAGCCTCTGCCCATTGGTGCTTGTGCAGACTCGGGGGCAGAGGTGACCCCGGTGGCGGTCTCTGGTGCTTCCTCCTGGCCAAGGGAGCCCTGGCCATATGGCTGGGGGTGGCAGTAGGGCCTGACCCGGTGCCGTGAAGGTCGGCCCTGTGCAACAGTCCCAGCCTCCCCAATCTGACTTCACCCCTGCCCTGCTTGACCGCGTGATTAAAGGTTTTACGTCTTCTTGGCAACTCAGGTTGCTTGTTTCTGCTCTGTTTTGTTTGCCCACCTTGGGAGGCCAGTGCGTCCCATTCTGCTGCGCCCAGGTTCCGGGCTCCAGAGGAACCAAGGCAGTCCAGGGATCTACTGCACGTGCTCACCAGCCGCAAAGAAGCCCGCGCCCCCGGTCATTCACGCAGCCTGTGCGCCTCGGAAGCGGGAGAGCCGGCTGAGTCTGCTGTGCCACTCCCTGGCTGTGGCCTTGAGAAAGTCCCCACCTCTCTGAGCCTCCGTTTCCTTGTCTGGTAAAATGGGAATGCTGATTGTCCCCCTTATGGGAGTGGCCGTAAGGATTAGAAGAGAGGTTGCCTAGTGAGAGCAGTGTTCATCCTTGGAGCCACAACTATTGAGCACCTACTGTGTGCTGGGTACCCCACTAAGCTTGGAGGCTTCAGTGGAGGGGGGCATAGTCCATCACCTCCCAGTGGAGAACACCCATGGAGTTTATGTCCTAGTGAGGCCCTTGGACGTGCAGAACAAACTACAGATCCTCATGTGGGACTTCGGTCTCACATTCTGTGTGTAACGTTTACTGGAGAATCACTGGATATTCTCTGGAGGAAAGCGCTGCACGTGGTACAGAGGGCAGTCTCTGTGGGTTCTGACCTCTGAGTCAGCACAGCAGCCACTCACGTGAAGATACTTAAAGTCATCTGTGTTGACTCCCCTTACTGGCTTGATGGTGGTGTCCTGTGCTGCCTGCGTGCCTATTGCTGTGTTCTGTGGTTCTCTGGGTACCACGTGGAAGAGGATGCTATAAAGATAAGCCCACTATAATTGTGCCAGGACTCCCAGGATTCATCTGAACCTGTGGCCACCCAGGCAGAGGGAGACACAAACCTTAGCTTTCTTGGAGCCCATCTGGCCTCTTAAGGAGGTTTCCTACTACAGCTGAAGTCCTCACAGCTCTCACGCAAGAGGTCCTAACAGGGCAGCTTAGGGGAGCAAGGCCACTGCATGCTCTTTTTTATTTTGGGGCATGCCCCGTGGCCTATGGGATTTTAGTTCTCCAACCAGGAATTGAACACATGCCCCCTGAACTGGAAGTACGGAATCTTAACCACTGGATAACCAGGGAATTTCCCCCACTCCATGGTTTTAGCTCAGGCTCTGTTGAAGCATCATCAGCCTCACCAGCACCCCGCTTCAACTCTGATGGTAAACGTCACCTCCAATGCCAGGCAGGAGCCTTCCGTCATGGACATCATGAAGACCTGGTTTGTTGATTGTTGTTGCTTGGTTGCTAAGTTGTGTCTGACTCTGTGATCCCATGGACTGTAGCTCACCAAGCTCCTCTGGCCATGGAATTTCCCAGGCAAGAATACTGGAGTGGGTTGCCATTTCCTTCTCTAGGGGATCTTCTCAATCCAGGGATTGAACCCGTGTCTCCTGCTTGGCAGGCAGATTCTTTACCACTGAGCCACCTTGGAAGTGGTTTGCTGATTACTGAGACAGAAAAGCTTTTGACATTGCTTGCCAAGCACCTGCAGGACTGAAGTTTGTCCTTTGCAAACTAAGGCCAAAGGTCCCAGACATTTCCAGGCCACATGAGTTCAGGTCTCTGAGACCAGCAGCCCTCCATTGCCTCATCAGAGTCACTGCAGACGTGTCCATCAGAGCTTCAGAGGTGGCCTCTGGTCTGTCTGGGCCCATTGTTCCAGTGGGATCCCAGTTCTTGACTTGGAGGCATATCAGTGGTGGGTAAGAGCCACTCCATCTTTGTTATGGAGACTCTCCCAACAGGTAAGGTTTTGGTGGGGATTGGGCAAGGGCCCTGGAAAAGTGAAGCCCCCCGCCCAGCCTGCTGCCTGGTCTGTGGTGACATCTCCAGGGCATCAGCAATGCATAGTCCCAGGGACCTCAGGGAGCTGGCGAAATGCCTGTCTTCCCACTGTGGGGGCCATCCCCTTCCTGTCCTGAGTGAGGACCAGATGTGATGGTGTTTGTGTGTTAGCAGTGGCAGCCACGTGGGTTCTTGAAAAGCAGAGAGTGTTTGTTGGATGAATGATTTTTACCTAACAAAGGGCAAGTGGAGCTGAGGGAAGCAAGAACCAGAGTCCTGGGCCAGGGAATAAAATCATGCAACTCGCTGCTCCCTCCCCTCCTGCCAGCTCCGAGGGCCTGTCCCAGTAGCCCCATCCTGCCACGTTTACATCTGGAGGCAGGGAAAACATAGGCAGAAACTCAACAAGACCAGAGACAGATGTCAAGAACATTATGGGTGGGGCCAAATTTGGGGAGAGCTGCGGCCAGCGGGCAGCTGCGGGAGCCAAAAAGGAAGGAGAAGGATTTCCATGACATGAGTCAAGAGTGCACGGAGCTAAGCTGGCGTGGCTGGGAGCAGCTGGTCTGTGGACCCAGGAGGACAGCAGGCTGGGGAGGCCAGGAACCAGGCTCGGTGCTGCTGCACGGGGTCAGGATGAGGTGTGAGGTTGCCTGCAAGCCGTGGCGTGGGTGGGAGGAAGTAGTAATTGGGGTGGAGGCACAATGGAGGAAACAGGCGCCCCTCTGCAGGGCAGCAGCAGGGCGGGTGGGCGGTTGGTGGTGGCTGACCTTCCTCTGGCTGACTGCTCTTCACCACTGCGGGCAGTGAATTGATGCCACGAACTCAGATGTACACAAATAGATCTTGCTTTGTTTCTTCACAACTAAGTTTAATTTCCATGCTGCTGAAGTTGAAGAAATGGGATTTTGGCCAGCTGGGGTTCTCTTACCACACTGCCTAGGGAGCTGCATTGAGAGCCGCATCCTGGCAGTGGGAGGGTTGCCTGGGAGGGCATACCCACAGGACATCTATTAAGTGCGTCAGGACCCCATTCACTCCAGGCTTCTGGTCCCACCCCCACACCTGCCGAACCACACCCGTTACTGCAAAGCCTCATGTGTCCTCATTCCTCTTGGGACAGCCAGCTGCTCTCTGCATGCATGCTTATCTCACAAATTCTGTATCCCTCAGAGGTCTGAGCCTAGCTAGCCCCATCTGGCTAGATGCACCATCTGACTGTTCCTTCCCTGGGGTCTCAGCCACCTCGCCAGGGTTCTGCTCAGTGAGAGGGGAATGGCTCCTCTGAGTCCCAGATGCCCCAGACCTGCTGGAAGTCTTCCCTGTAGCCCTTGCCACCAGGCTCAGCTGGGAAAGAGGGGCCAGGATCCAGGTTCACCAAGGGCC